TTAAACACTTTGGGCTAATGGTGTGAAAATTGATCGCGCTTGGAGTTGTCCACACTTACTTAAATCTATGCTTATTACATTAGGGCCCACTTTTATGTATACGTATCATACTTTTAAATAAACATACTTTTTTTTCATTGCCCAAATCTAGTTTTTCAAGAAGGTATTTTAGGCTGTCGTTTCAAACGAATATATTTGTAAACTTAAGTTGAATTCTAATGCTTCGGTTCAGTCCTATTTTATACTTTTTAAAGAACATATGGATACTAGGAATGCTAAATAACTAGCACCGTAAATGTGTTGGGTAGTTATGAAGCAATAAAAAACGTATATAAGTCAGAGAAATGAAAATTAAAAAAAGCAATGAACGCATTATGAAATTTGAACTAAGCAGGTGAAAATTTATATATAATCGTATGGTATTTAACTATAAATTTTTTAAAAGGCAGGATCAAAAAGAAAAATTTATAATGACAGGGAGTAAACGTTTGAAAAATGAGTCATATAACCAGAAGTAAGGAAATTTTTTTTTTAAAGACAGAAACAATCAACGAAATTGAAGAAGTTCGATGTTCATAACATTAAAGCACTGCAAAATTACGTCAATCAGCTGTACAGTACATATTGATTATAGGAAAGAAAGAAAAAAAAAATTGTAACTGAAGTGCTTGTTAAGCAAATGGATAGAGATTAGCTAAGTAAATTTTGTCTACCAAGGTGGGAGTATTAGTTTTTTGCTCTCTTAAAGATGAGACTAAAATAACTCGAAAATGCTAATTACACTTTTGACAGAAATAAACTTGTAAATGCATATAGGTAACTGTTAGATTTACCACCATGCCCGCCTTGAGGAGCAGAAAATCATTTATTAAGGTATCGAGTCCTAAATAGAGGTAAGTTTTCCTAGCTCTCTACGCTGACGACACTGCCATATATTGTAATATGAAATCAACTGCATTAGCTATTAAATAATTGCAGGAAAATGGTTTGCAAAGTGGAATATTACGATAAACCCTATGAAATGCCATGCTCTGCTCATCTCATGAAAAAGCCAAAAGGGCAAAATTAAAGCTCTAACTCTATCGCAACCATCTCTTCCTTGCTGTTATCAAGTAAAATATCTTTACGTTATCATTAAGTCTTGACTTAACTGAAAGTCTCATATAAATTAAGAATATAACTTCTGCTTTTTATCCTTCTATATTAAAAAATTTGAATCTTGAAAATAAACTTCTATATATAAAACTATTATCAGACCTACTATTACTTACGCATCTGTCTCGTGGTCTTACTGCTCGACTTTGCATATAAACAGACTTAAGATTCTTCAAAACACTCTCCTTTGAATGTTTACAGGCACACCTTGGTTTGTGCGAAATTCCTAATTAAATCATGTATGTGAAATGGAACATCTTTTGCTTTACCTTAATCTGACGGCTATAAAATGTTTTACCCAAATCAACACCCAAACAAAATAATAACTAACGCCTTGGGCTATACTACGGAATATTTTTAAAAATATAAACGATTTGAACATTTTTTGGATCTAGCTTGAAAAACCCAGTATTGAAACGGCTTTAAAACAGTTACATGATAATAATATATTGCTATCTTTATTTAATGAGTGATGAACGAGAGACCCTAAGTTGTAAAATAGGATACCCTTCTCAACCTTCTCCGTAATGAGGGAATTCAGATTAAGCAGTTTAAGTTATGGCAGAGGTAACGACTGTAGTATGTCAAAAGGATAAATAAATAAAGTTAAGAATTTTTTTCCCTTTATTAAAAGTTTGTGCGGTTCCTGTTTCTTACGTATAGTAGCTAGTTGTTAGATATTACGAGCTTCTAGACCTGTTACTTCATATATATATTACCAGCATAGAGTTTTTGACTGAACAAAGTACAATAAGCGGAAGGGCAACTTCTAAAAATTGTCTTTATGCTATAAGTAGAGGACATGGTTCTTCGACACCATTTTGTTTGATATAAACGGAACATGTAAGCGCCATGAACGGCTTATATCGCAAGTTTGTGGTAAATATAAAATTGAAAGTTAGGACAAATTATGAGACACAAAGAAGCAATGCTAGTCTCGGTCGTAGCTTTTACTAAGGTTAAATAAAATATTAACATCCGAGTTAATAGAGACTATAAACGACGCGATATCATTCCCTTATGTCAAAGGACAAACAGAAAATAAAGTCATAGTATGAAGATCTTTTTCTTTAAATAAATAAAATTTAACATAATTTTCAATCCTTACGAGAATATATAAAAATCCATTTTCACAAAATTAAAATAAGCTTTATAAATGAAAATTTCTTATGAAATTATGTCATATATTATTAAAATGATCAAAGATTTAGATATGAGACCCACTACGCTTCGATGACCAGAAAAACTTAGAAGAGCGTTTAAAAATTTCTTTACAAGAAGCACTTTGTTTTTCTGTCAGAGTAATATAAATAAAAAAAAAACAACTTTAATTTTTAATTTTTAAGTCGTTTTTACCTCTAGTTTTTTTTTTCAAGAAAAAATTATGAAGAAAGTTATAAAGCAACAAAGAATTTTTTTATCATGGACTTTCTTGCCACTTAGAGACAATTATGTTTGTTATACGTTATTTAAGTTTCTGTAAGACTTCTTATTCAGACAAGAAGTAGGCGCCGCTAAAATGAAGTAGGAAACCATTTATCAAGGCCCAAGCTTCTAACTCACCTCGGTAAGTCATTAATAAATTTTCATTTTTAACTTTTATTTGTTGAAATTATTATACTTGAAGTTAATTTAAGATTTTACAAGTAGCTGTACTCAAACTAGTGCAATTAAACATTTAATAGTAAAATTTTTCCTAAAGTTAAGAGCGGAAACCCCCACTTTGAGCCCCCTTTGAGGGTGCAATCGTATATTAAGGCACCGAGTTTAACTGATGGCGTGTCCATATGCTATAGATATATTTATTAGAACCTTATCCATAACTCGGCATAATAGAAAGTAGGCTGCTTGATTATTCTTACAGAATGCTTTGTATTTTGAATATTTTAAGCATACCACAAATCCAAGTGTGCATATAGGCGCACTGAGTGATGCGGTCTTTTTGAAGTCCGTTTGTATGTAGTTAGTGGTGGTTTGTATGTGTTACGAAGAGTTATAAAAGCAGTCTCCTCGCGAGCATTCTAGCTATATACTAGGTAGTAACACTATTCTATATACCTATTCTAGATACTATGTTATAATACATAGCAATAAGTACTATATTCGATGGTTCGTTTATTTAATTGAATGCGTCACCACCGTTCATAGACTGAGATAGCGCTACTCCGTTACTCACTACGCATACCTTGTATGACGATGTTTTCACACGCGGTTAGCTAGAAGTCATAATATATACATAGTTTAGCTGTTTCCGTCAACCTGCTATTCAAATCACAAGCTAACTTTCGCAGCTCTTCCATTGCTTTTCACTGAGGGTTGTCCGGAAGGTAACGCCAGGATTCGTTTGTTGTGCAAAACTCATAGTTCGTTACTAGTACCTGATTTTGTCAGGCTGAGATTATGCAAAATTCTACTCGATACAGGTAAGATAGAACCTGCCACAGAGCCTATTTGCTGCGCCGTTTTTACTAATTTTAAGAGTGAATATTTCTAAATAGAAATAGTCCGCACTCTTAGTAACGTGCGTGCCTCAAATTGGTTAGATCGAGCAGGGCTACCATATTCAGAACCAAACATGTTACCTTCCAACGAAAGTGTATCCAAACCGAAGTCTTTCAACACAGAGCAAATCACTTCAGTGTAAAGATATTTTCGATCGAGTCGTCGGAAGCGTCCAATCCTAGAGGGTTACTAGACACCACAAGATGTTATGTATTCTACACGCGTCAGTTTAACTAAGGATGGCTCCCTGCAGACAGTCCTTTGTATTCCAAGTACTGAGAGCCTGCAGGACTAACAAGCGCAGCAGCTGTGTCTAGAACGGGTTCGATCTTTTCCGGATGCTTTCCGATGATTAGTCTTTGGACTGTAACTTGAATCTATCAATCTAATCAAAGAATGTACAGAACTTGACGGAAGTCTCAAGATATGACTAACGGTCTAAGGAACTTGTATGCTCCTAATGCTATCATTCATAGCACCGACCTGTTCAGTTTGCCATAGGTGTTTGTTGGCTGGCAACCATGGACTTATCTTCTGAAGTCAAGGCCAAGTCAAGGAGCTTCAATATTTGAAAATGATTTCACGCACTCGATTTGTAATGTTACTCGAAAACAAGTCAACTAACTTGCTCTCTATATACGGTGTTTTGAGCGCCTTAAGTATTCTGGTTAGAGATAATTACAAGTATCAAAATTTTGATGATTTTAATTTCTTAGTATTTTTATTTTATTAAATTAAATTTTTTTTAGTTATATTATTATAGTAAACTTATTAACTTTTTAAGTTTATGCACATTAAGGTTATAATAAAACAATAAAGTAGTTTTATTTTTACAAAGAATAAATTATATTATAGCATCTTACTAGATAAAAACAGGAGTGATTATTCTAGGGTAGAAAATGTTATTTTAGTTAAGACTAGATTATAGTTATTTTTAAATTATCTTATTTTTATAATAATTAAGTGTTTAGAATTTTTGTTTAATTTATTCATTAGAAGATTTTATTAATCCCTCTTTTACTGTGTTTATAGTATGTTAATAGTATTATATTTTTTATAATGAAATAATTTTTATTTAAAATAAAGCTATTATATAACTGTTATTTTTGTGTTATGAAAGCATTTATGATAGTTCAGATTGAAGAGTTTTTAATAGTGGGGTAACTTTAAGTTGTGCATATGACGTATTTAATGAAATAAAGGGACTGTAAGGAATGTATGGGACTCAGGAGGTCATTTTACTAGATAATCTAGATATGCTTGTCCTTGTTTTATTCCTTTTATTGTATAAAATCTGAGGAATCTAAAGTTGACTAAACTTTTAGTTGACTTAATGAGTAGTAGATTCCTGACATGAATAACATAGTTCCAATTAATGAGCTAAAAGATCCACGGCTGCTAAAGAAGTTAAAAGCTTCGAAAGCATCAGAATAGGATCCTACTCTTCTTTGTAGACCGCTGTAGCCTAAATGATATTGTAATAAAAAAGTAAAGTTCACTCCAACAAAAATTAAGATAAATACGCAGATCCCTATAAATGCGTTATAGTTTATTCCAAATACAATTAAAAAATGTGCGAAAAATGCTGTAAAGATAGAAAAGACTGGATTTAATGACAGAATATAATGAAAATGAACTACTACAAAATAACTATCATGTAAATACTCTAAAGAACCGTTTGCTAATATAACTTCGGATAAATCCCTAACACGAATAAAAACACAAAAAGTAAAGCAAATAGCATTGATGTACTGAATTTAATTTGACCACCAAATAAAGTAGCTAATCAAAAGAAAATCTTGACACTATAGGTATAGCAATTACTAAGGTAGCTGCTGTAAAATAAGCCTTTCAATCGGTCGACAATCTCACGCTAAATAAATGATGGCTTAAAACTATTCAACCTGTTACACCAGTAGAGATCATAGCTAAAAATCATACCTAAAGGCCCGAATACAGGCTTTAAGGTTTAGTTAGTCATAATTACAGATATCAAGCCAAGAGCAGGCAGAGAAATGATATAAACCTCTGGATGACGAAAGACTCAAAATAAGTGCACTCATAAAAGAGGTTCTCCTCTCGCTGCTGAGTCGAAAAAGTTAGTATTAAAGTTTCTATCTAATAAAAGCATAGTTAAAGCAGAAGCTATTATAGGTAAAGCGGTAATGAGTAATAATGAAGTAATCCAAGTAACTCGAATAGATAGCGAAGTATTTAATAAAGAATAAGCACTAGATCTCAATACCTAAATGGTTACAATAAAGTTAATAGATGAAGCAAGGCAAGAAATACCCGTTAAATGTAAAAATAAGATCCCTAGTCCAAAGGAAGGACTGCTGTGCGAATCTAACCCAGATAGAGGAAAGTAAAAAGTTCACCCAGTCCCAGCACCCTTTTCAATTAAAGTGGATGATAGTAAAAGGATCAAACTAGGGTGTAGCGGTCAAAATCCTAAGTTATTTAGCCTTGGCAGTAACAAGCCTGAGCATCCGAATTGTATAGGCACTAGTCAACTGTTAAAAAACCCATTCAGTATGGGCATTATAAAGTAAAAGATCATTAGCAACCCGTGGGAAGTTATGACAGTATTGTATAACAGACCGTCATCTAGTAAGTTACCTACAGACGACGATAATTCAACTCTCATTATGAGAGACATTGTTGCACTTAGTAAGGCAGCAGCCAATCCAAAGAGGGGGATATAAGAGGGCGATGTTTATACAATTAGTACTAAAAACTCCGAGATTTAGACGATTTGTCATTAACGATTAAAAAGAGAATCGAACTCTCATCTTTGATAGACAGATCAACGTTAAACCTTTTAACTATCTAATCTAAAGGAGAGATAAAAGTTAAACTAAATTAAACAACAGTATATAAGGTTAGCTAATTAAATGTTCTACCAAATGAGAACAACCAAAATGTCAGAGTTAAGATTAACTCCTTTCTCATACCTTACGGCAGACTGTCTTAAAGCGCGTCCTCACTTACCAAGTGCATACCGCTATAGTGGACGAATAATCAATGCTCTTGCAGAAGAAGCGTAGGACATGATAATTTCCGCACATAACAATAAAGCATATTTAATATTATTAATACAATAATAGATGACTAAATACTTACAATAATGCATTTACTTATATAATATAAATTTCATCCTACCGACCTTAAAATTATATAGGATACTTCTAAAAATAAAAGCGGGGTTCTTAATGATTGACCTTCGAAACTTCCAAAAACACTAATAACGCAAATAAATACTATATATTCTTACTACCAAACTAGACATGAAATTGAAAAATAAAAGCTTTTTTTAGAGACTAGCTAGGTGCCTAAGCTTGAAATCCCTCATTTTAAATAACCAACGGTTCAGCGTTGTAGCAAACTTACTTTTATGCGTTTCTGCGCTCTAAGACAGGTAGGAACACTTTGGCTATCTTGTAAAGATCAAGTCAACCGTGTTGGTTGAGTGTGTATAGTCAGCATTTTTTCCAGGGGCTAATAATTTCACTTTTACTTTCACTTTTGTATAACAATCGCATAAGCAGGCTGCAGATAGACTAGCGTTGTCATAACTGCCTTTTACCTCTTCCTGTTTGGGGAAGCCAGGTTTGGGCCTACCTTGTATCATTACCCGGGTGCCCATAATTTACCTTACGCTTAAGAGGCTTCCATACATGAATGACTCAAAAAAACATTTTTTACATTATACCTCAGTGCTTATAAACTAGATGGCAACTGGCTCTCTTAAAGAGGTGTCTTATACTAGTACTGCGCTAGAAGTTATCTTTATATGAGATGATTAGCTGCTTCTAAAATAGAGGGAAGCTTGCGTAGGGTACTGGGGGAAGAGTCTTCTACAATAGTGGTGTTTCCCAGTGTATCTTAGAAATCGGGGGATAACGACCTAATAATTAAGCACTCTACTTAGGAACACTCTTTGTACCTTCTATAGGGCCAATAAGGGTCTTCAAAAACTTTATATAAGGGATACGCCTCCAAGGAGCTCACGAATTCAGCATGTGCTAAAATGCAATTTTTCATCTTGCATGAGTGCGAAATGCACATGCTAAAACTCCCTTGCTTGCGCTGCTGTCTCAGTGATATAAGCGTCAGGTGAAAGATTCAGTTCTTGGCGACTGTATACGTGCTTTCTAGAAGGCGGAAGAGCTGTAAACCATATCTTGCGAGTCACGTCCTAGCATGCTACCCTACCGAAAAAAGTAACGATTCTTTACAACGTCTCCAGGTTCCTCTCGTAAAGTGACCGAAAAACTCTACCATATATGAGGGCGTTGTAAGTTAACGTTATTCCTCGCGCCTTTCGAAACAAGAAATATGGAAGGTTGCATAACTGGGTGCCCTCCGAAGATGGAAAACCGTCTAAATGTTGACTCATTTAAACTTGGGTCATGTCAAAAATGTAGGGACGCCTGGTAAACGTTAGCTCTTTAATAGAGGTCCGACATGGCACTAATGTTAAGTTACGAACAAAAATTTATACAACCGTATTAACTCTGCCTACTTCTTAAGAAGGAAATTATAACTGCTAAATTTTCTTTGCTCCGAAGAATCGACTATAGTTAGGCCAGTGAAATCAGTTAATAAGTAATTTTTAAGCTGTAGGCTGTACCGAAATCCATCAGAATATATGGGGACGAAAATTAATACAAAATTTATCAAAACACGAATAGGGGTCTAGGTCGTGGATCAATATCCCGACATTAAATTAACGCGTCAATGCTTTTAACCGCTCACCTATGAAAGTAGCTTTCAATTCCAATAAAATAAATTTAAGTTATTAATTGTTAAAGTGAACCCACAATAAAAATTAAATTTTTTCCCCTGTCAAAACTACGGTATTTTAGAATTAAGAGCTCATAAGAAAAAAGGTGATGCATTCTTATTAATTAAAACTGACTACTGACAGGTAACGGTACCTTTTTAATTTATTGGACTTCACAAGGGCTGCGATTCGGTTTTTTTAAAGCGGTGTTTTTTTAAAGAGATCTTCAGTATTGCTCCTCCGAATATGCCTGACTACCTAGGGGAGGACCAGCGTCGTGTCAAAGACGACAATGGGAAGGAAAAGCCTTTCCAAGCTTTAGATGAAAGTGATATTGCCTTACTGAAGACTTACGTTATACTCTTATAATATTTATATATTTTATGCGTTACATACAAATTCCGAAAGGGCGTTGGCCCATATACCAAACAAATTAAGCTCACTGAAGAAGAAATTGAAAAGGAATTTAAAACGGTCAATGAGTTAACAGGTAAGTTTATATTATATATTTTAACCTAAGTTTGAAATTTTTTTTGTCTTAAATTCAGGTGTCAAAGAAAGTGACACAGGTCTTGCTCATCCTGCTTTATGGGATGTTATGGCTGACGCTAGGGCAATGAAAGAAGAACAAGCTCTTCAAGTCTACATAATTATAATAATAAAAATAATTAATTTTCAATTTCATACTCACACTTTAGAACATTATTTAGTACTTATTAATTTAGAGACTGTGGTAAACTTTAATTGCAAGTAAATGTCCCACTAACTCAAAACTTTAAGGTTGCACGCTGCACTAAAATTATTACTTCAACCGAAGACGAAGAAGATATAAAATTTGTTATTAACGTCAAACAAATTGCAAAGTTTGTTGTTGGATTAGGCGATCGTGTTTCGCCTACTGATATTGATGAAGGCATGAGAGTAGGGTTGGTTATTTTCTTCTAAGTTTACTTTGTTAATTTCATCACTTTTTACAGGTATCTATATATTTAAGTTAATATTTTTAATATGTAGTTAGTGGCTAATAGTTCATAAATTCTAAAACTGAACTTTGGTTTAATTAATTAGCGTCGATCGGAATAAGTATCAAATTCAAATTCCCCTTCCGCCGAAAATCGATGCGGCGGTCACCATGATGCAAGTTGAAGAGAAGCCGGACATTACGTACAACGACGTTGGAGGCTGCAAAGAACAAATTGAAAAACTGAGAGAAGTTTTAGAATTGCCTCTTCTTCACGTAAACTTTAAGTTTTTCTTTTGCCTGTTTGTAAAAGTATTAATTCTTTAAGTTACAAATTATATATATTTATAATTAATCTGTTGATTAATTGTATAGCAGTAATTGTAAATTATGAAAGTGGTCTTTACTTTTTTTTTAATTTTAAATTCTAATAAAGTTTTGAAAGCAAATAGAGTTTACAAACTTTTTTTAACTGCCGGTGGTGAGTACTTATAGCTTAATTAATATCAGCCTGAACGGTTTGTGAATTTGGGAATCGAGCCCCCCAAGGGCGTCTTACTATACGGCCCTCCAGGCACCGGAAAGACGCTTAGCGCACGCGCTGTTGCCAACCGGTAAGCTTTTACGGAAAGTTTCCTTATAGGATAAGAATCATTGGTACTTTAGTTGTATAATAACACAAATAGAAATAAACTTTTTGATTGAGATTCGCACTGCGAGTATTAACAACTAATAACCGCCTTTATCAACACTTTAGCACCGACGCCTGCTTCATTCGCGTGATTGGAAGCGAACTAGTACAGAAGTACGTGGGAGAGGGCGCTCGAATGGTTCGTGAGTTGTTCGAAATGGCTCGAACGAAAAGGGCGTGTTTGATCTTTTTTGATGAGATTGATGCTGTGGGTGGCGCAAGGGCGGACGATTCTTACGATGGATCGGGTGGTGACCACGAGGTTCAGAGAACCATGCTCGAGCTGATTAACCAGGTTGCACGTGTTTCGTGTATTGGTTTGCACACGTGGTTATTCTCCCGCACGGAGAAAGCTGGACGGCTTTGACCCTCGTGGAAACATCAAAGTCCTTATGGCGACCAACCGTCCTGACACGCTCGACCCCGCCCTTATGCGCCCTGGTCGTCTGGACAGAAAAGTTGAGTTTGGTCTTCCAGACTTGGAGGTCCCATTTAATTATTATTATTATGAACATGAGCGCTTTACTTTTACTTTTAAGGGGAGAACACACATTTTCAAGATCCATGCTCGATCGATGAGTGTTGATCGGAGTATTCGATTCGAACTTCTGGCCCGGTTGTGTCCGAACAGCACCGGCGCAGAATGTCGAAGCGTCTGTACGGAAGCCGGCATGTTCGCCATACGCGCGCGGCGGAAGGTAAATTCTCATCGTAATGAAAAGTACAACACCGGCAAATTTATCTCGGTAATCGGTAGATTGCCACCGAAAAAGACTTTTTAGATGCCGTAAACAAAGTCGTAAAGGAATACGCTAAATTCAGCTCTACTCCTCGCTACATGGCTTATAACTAAGATCCGTTAACTGTAGAGTGGCAATAAAAAATTCGTATGACAATATATTTTTAAGAGGTATTAAAAGCGATTGAAGAAGGCGTCATAGGCTTGTATTGTAAAAGCCTATTTTAAGTACAACTTTTACTCTGAGCTTGCTACCCATTCACTTCTCCTTACCCAATCTCGAATTCTTTTCAAGTAAAAAAATTGCTGAATTTTTTTTTAAATAAAGTTTTATTGTATATGAAGTTTAATAAAAAAAAGTATATATTGCTGAATATTATATAGTAAAACAATATGAGACGAAAAGTTGCGATCGCTCGCGAACTCTATTGGGGATGATGCGTGTTATATGGCCGCAGTTAAGGTCCTAATCCATTTCTAACCCGCCATAATTTTAGTAGAGATCGGCTGTAGTTGTAAACTTACTAGCTTCAACATAGCTTAATATTTTTTGCTATGAAAGCAGAAAAAATATGCCCTAGGAAGTAAAAGTTTCTTAACGTTTTTTTTAGTTTAACAATTTTTCCAGTTGAGGGGCAGCGTTACTTGAAATGGTTACTAAACAAAATAGGCTTCTCTTAAAATGTAGCAGATGTGAACCTCTATTAGTTAGCTTATTTAAGTGTTAATCCCTAAAGACCTTTATAAAGAGTGTTGACGAGTAAAAGGCCAAAGTCTGCCTCCTATGAAAGTCGTGTGGAACTATAACTTTTGTAGACAAGATTCGCTCAATATGAATAAGGAAACTAAAAACAGTGATTACAGTAGCCTTAATTCTTTTTTAACTATAAAATGTGATTTCCTAAAGTTAAACTTAGAACTATATATTTAAGTGAGTGCAAAATTTGTTTGGTCGAAAAAGAGTTACTCTTAAGCAATTAAAAAATCAAAACTTAGTATTTAGTATGTGTATTAGATTTCCCACCAGCCAAGGTAAACGGCCAGTTTAAAGGGGAAGGTAACTAGTTAAAGTACCTTAGTCCTATTAGTCCGCCGGAAAGGCTACGGCCTCCGTACATTAGGGTGCGCATGGTATAATATTCCCCGACTACATTGTAAAAAAAGAATTACGAATAACGAATACTATAAACACTATTGATTCGCCTGCAAGAAAAAATTACAGAAAAACGGACCCAACTAAAAAAAAAGATGCACTTTCACCAACAAAGCGTGTCACAAGTTGACGGCTACAATGGCAAAAAGTGCAGGAAGTTCGGTTACGATCTGCGCCCTCTGTACTCTTCCGATTTGTCCTCTAGCGTTGCCTCAAAAAAATGTTCCAGGAAAAGAGACTGGGTCAAACGAAGAAGTCATCGCCAAAACAGGGACCTATTTGAAGGCAAAAACAGATCGTTCTAGAAAAAATATATAGTACTAGTACCTAATAACTTCCTACCAAGCTCATACTCAGATCCTATCGGCCAGCGAAAGGTGTAGTAGTGCAGGTAAAGCATTGGACTAATTGTATCACTTTTAATTGAGACTGTTGAAATTATAAAATTAATTTGCAGAAAAAGTATTGTTTGATTAGTTAGTCCCAAGGCTTTCAGGTGAGGTGCTAATTTAAAAAAAATTGAATCTAAGCGGTTAGCTGGAAACCAAGCTGGATTACAAAAAATTTGTAATGGGATTTAAAGAAAAACTGTTATTGTATAGCTTCGTATAGATCGCTAATTTGTCGGGCAACACTACTCTTTGCTAAAAGGGTGAACTAATTTTTTTCAAAAACTGTTTTTATACATAATTTCTGTCCTTTAATATACGCTAACGAGTTGTAATACCTTCCCAATGGTATGCGACTACCTACATCTAGTTCTTCAACAGAAAATTTTATTTTTATTATTAGAAATTCTTGCTTTTCCTAAAAGATAATAACAAAAAAGGTTTATCGTTTAAGCTTTTCAGGGTTTATGCTCTTTACAGCCAAGTCCTTAGTGTTTTTATCGTTGTTCTTATACTCCAAAAAAACATGAGAGCCAGACAATGAGTGAAATATGAAACTTAAGTTATATTATCGCTAGTGCGCGAAGTTATAGCTATAATAATTGAACTGAGAGGGGAAAACTTCAGAATAGCTGTAAAGTGGAATATTGTACATATGGTAAAATTTTGCTTTTTTTGATAGTATTTTAGACTTGAAACGATGTATCTATGCGCAGGAAAAAAAATTATTTAAAACACTTTGTCGGAGCTCGGCATGCATGCAACTATGGTGCATCCCATACTACAAGGGTGAGAAATTCTAAATTTAAGGAATTACATACATCTAACCAAATATACTTGAATATAGTGATAAAAAACCTTTGAGGAACTACCCCTTTAAATTACAGGCTCTAATTTACACAAACCCATGGTAAATTACTTTTAAGTTAGCGATCGCGACACAGTATAAGCCACTATTTGCAGGGAAGGTGCACTGTGAACTGTCCTTTAAAAAATGTATGTTTGTTAGGATTCAATGTTATTACTAATTTACAATGACGTATAATGAGTACAATAAAAATTATTTAAGACTAAAGATTACATATATACTGATATGATCTAATATAGGTCTCCCCACTACAGAATAAGACTTAAACGATAGCCGAGTATAATTTAAGTCACTCAGAAATCTATGGGGTGTATGAAACCTTCCATATATTTAAAGGGTCTCGCATTTCAATTTGCATAGTTATAATATGCTCTGGGATAAGTAACGACTCCAGGTTATTAGCTGTCCTTCAATTATAAAGGCTGCTTTATGTGTTATTTATTTAATCCTTATTAGCGACTAAAGTGCTTACCATATATAATAATAATTATTTAATTTTTTAAAAATTACAAAAGTTCAATAAACAAAGTTTTAGCAATTTTTTATTTAACATATTTTACACCTTTAAAAAAATTTGCCATCTTTACTTGTTAATTATAATAGGTTTAAGCAGTTAAGTGCCTCTTCATAGCAAGCGTCAAAAAGTGATTTACACGACACCGGTTCCGTTATAAATACATGGAATTTTCCAGTCGCTTTCAGAATGAATTATCTACCCACGAGATATACCAAATATGATTGCTTTCTGCTAGGCATCTGCTGACACACTGGAGGGTATGTGATTGTAAACCGCTCTTATAGGTTCCTGGAATCCCATCTCTAAAAGAATAATGTTGGTATATTCGACAATAGGGCCTCTTAAATGTCCGACTGATGTGATATCTGGAAGACCAGTGAGCACGTGGACCACTTCATGAATTAAAACACGGTTAAAGCTACCTTTATAAAGCTTGTTATCGATACCAATGTGAAATAATGAATTTTTATCTTCTAGAAATATTACAAGCTCTGGTGCAATTTTTATCTTAAAGAAGCCCTCTTTAGTCACTTGGTGAAAGAAAAACTTAGTGGACGTTTCTTCACTGTGAAGCACAAGTGTAACCCGGTTTTGCGCATTTTCCCAGTTATACTTTAGCAAACCATAATTAAATAAACGCCTAAAAGTAGGACTAGTTTTATATGCTTTTTCTAGCAGTGGTGCTATTTTCTCTTGTATTTCTTTCTCAAGCTTCGTAGGCAAAATTAAGGTACCAATTTTTTTGGTCCATTTTTTAAACATTAAATCGATAACTCGTAGTTTCCGGTGTGATAGCTGGTCGCTACTGTCAACAGCAATACGATCGTGGTCTAAAAGAAATGGATCTGGGTTTTCCGTTTGCATACGTAGTTCTGGGTATGTATTGGATAATGTTTTATAGTGAGAAATAGCCCCCAGCTGTTCGTTTGATAACCTAGTTACTGAACTTGTTCTTATTGGCACGCGATAAAAAGATAACTCACGTCCGACCTCCATTAATACAATGTTGGTGTATTCTACAATTGGCCCTCGGAGATAGAATTCGGATGGTTGAACTTGGAACCCTGTAAGCGCTTTAATTAACTCATTGAGGTAAGCATGCTCGGCAGTGTACGGTACCGGACCATTTTCAGCTTCATAGTAACGACTGTCAATAAACTCTACATTTAATCCTATTGTTCTCACTCCACCAGCAGCAGAGAATTCGTTTTGGGTAATTGTTGTACTAAAAGCTTCTCTAGGCGCAATCAACCACCGATTTCCTGGAAATTGGAGCTCGAAGTCGTAAGCGTAGTTGAATAAACGCCTAAAAGTTGGACTATAATAGTAGACTTCGTTCATTATTCGTTTTAACATATAATATTCAGATGAATGGGCAAGCCATTCATCAGTACTAAATTTTATGTAGTCATAGTAGTTTATATCCTTAATGCTTTTAATGAAAGACATAACTATGGCATCCTCGGTTTTACCTACAAACCGATTAGTGCTATCCATGGCAACTTGGTCGTGAATTAGTAGTAAAGGATCAGGATTTTCTAGTTGCATTGAGAGCTCAGGGCAGTCTTGGTATAGTTGTTCGTAAAAGGTGGGTACCCTGAAGCTAGACCCCGAAAATACTGCATCATTGGCTGGCCCTAACAATGGTTTAAGTTGAGGTGTAGCAGAAGGGTTAACTAAATTTTCTGTCCCTACAAGTGATTTTGTAGCTGTTACAGACCTTGCTGGTATATCTTTGGAAATCTTGAATCCCTTCTCCCGAAAGGAAATTTGAGGAGGCTTCTCCGGCCCTAACAAATACCCAAACTTGCCGTTGATAACCTGAGGTGCTTTAAAATATTTATTATTTCTATTAAAAATTTTGCGTAATACTGTGGTTTTGATTAATGGGCTGGCTACCGTTGTTACTGCACCAAACAACACCGCCATCTCTACATCCGCTTCTGCTCCACTTAATGCCTGCTGCCGTTCTTCTTCAGAATCTCCGTTGCTAGCAACATGTATTTCGAGTCCGAGGATAGCACCAAACATCAAGGTATTTACCACAGCTCCTATTGGCCCAAATAGCATCAGAGGGACACCTAAAACCGTTCCCGCAATTTGAAAGGCAACCAAAACGCGCTGCTCGCATAATTCACTATCAGACATTATTAACGTATCGGCATCCTGAAACCTGCGCTCTTTTGTTTGTAATGCGAGCGCCTCAAACACATCAGTGTTTTTTATTCTGAAACTGTCATAGTAATCAATACCGCCGCCATCCACTTCCCAATCGCCCTCGGCTAGCTTCTGTAGAGCATTGTCCACTCCGGTGTAAGAATTTCCGTCCTGACGGTCATA